TATATATATATATATATATTTTTTTTTTTTTAGGTCATTCTTTCCCTGGGAATCGAGCCCATGACAACATGCTATACAGGGATTCTAGTCCTTTTAAAGGGATAATTCACCCAAAAATTCAAATTACCCCATGATTTACTTGCCCTCAAGCCATCCTAGGTGTATATGACTTTCTTCTTTCAGATATTAAAAAAATGTCCTGGATCTTCCAAGCTTTATAATGGCAGTGAATGGAGGTTGAGATTCAATAGTCCAATAGAAGTCCAAAAAAGTGTATCCATCCATCAATCTGCTGCAACGCTACTCTCTCGTGAACACACGTATGACATTTAGCGGAAGCTAGAGATTATGGTTTATAAACATTTAAATATGGATATTTTTCTTACACAAAAGCATCGATTCGCTTCACAAGGCCTTTATACACCCCCAGAGCTGTGTGGAGCACTTTTATGATGGATGGACGCAGTTTATTGGACTATTGAATCTCAACAGCCATTCCCTACCATTATAAAGCTTGGAAGAGCCGGGACATTTTTTTTTTAATATAACTCTGATTGTATTTGTCTGAAAGAAGAAAGTCATATACACCTAGGATGACTTGAGGGTGAGTAAATCATGGGCTAACTTTCATTTTTGGGTGAACGATCCCTTTAAAGTACATTTCAAACAAATTCTCCAAAATGACTGACTGATATCATGTTCTTCCATTTCCCAGGATCCTTTCAACATGCTGAAGCCCAAGGAGTATGCTGGGTCAAAGTCGGACCCTCATCTTGTACCTTCCATCACCAACAAAAGGATTGTTGGCTGTGTCTGTAAGTTAAAACTCTTGATTCTAGGTACTTGATGTCATAGTTCATTTTGTTAGAGGTTGTATTAAGCACATGTATTTGTGTCTGTCCAGGTGAGGAGGACAACACTGCTGTGGTCTGGTTCTGGCTCCACGAGGGTGAAGCCCAGCGCTGTCCTTCATGCGGCTCTCATTACAAGCTTGTGCCTCATGAGCTTCCTCACTGATCCTGCTGCCTCCACCGCAGCGTTGCATCCCAGAATTCCAGAGACGTCTTGACCTCATTCATGTTTGTCTTATTGCAGAGAAGTACAGGAGATGTAACCAGTCCTCCTGGTGTGGGACACAATATTTTAACAATTCCTAAAAAAACCAAAAAAACAGTTTACTTAAATTATTGGAGTATACTTTTTGAGTTTGGTCCGGTTACACCTAATAAACATGCTTACTCTGACTTTGACTCTTGTGTTTTAATTCAGGTTCATTAAATTCTGGTCAAAGGTCTAGACATGCCTGACTGTATTTGTTTCTGATGACCCTAAAAGCATTTTAATTTAATGCTTGAAATTAGTTTTAAGAGAAACAAATTGTGCCATGTGTATGAATTTCTTTACAAAGCTAATATTTTAATTTGAATAATGGTTGTTTAATAGTTTCAATGACTTTTCTATTATAAAATGTGGAAAATGGAAATAAAGTGTGCATGCCAGTGTTGTTTTACTATTATAGTATAAATTAATTTGGAGTCGGTTTTTATTTTTATGTTTTCATGTTTCATTCTAATTTTAGTCGAAATTTTGTAGTAGTGTAGTAATTTCATTCCGTGCTTTTGTCATCTTTATTATTTTTTATATTTCTATCATTTAGATTTAATAAATTTTTCCGGTTTTAGTAATTTTACTACTTAACTTTAACCTTTTTAATTTCAGTTGGTTGCCAAGGCATCATTTCTAATAAAGGTATTTTAAATAAAAGTTTTCCCATATTTTATTTCAATAAATGAGAAGTATTTGTAATTTGTAATGTTTTTTATTTTATTTTATTAATGATTAACAACATGATCCAAACTTTTGACTGGCAATTTAGATCAGTTTCATATAAAATATGTTTTTTGACCTTGGTGTCCCCTTGATTAATGATGCTTTTCTATTTGGATTGCAGTTTTCTTATTTGGAAAGGTTGTTGTTGTTTCATGACTTACAGTTTTAATTGATTTTTATTTATTTTTTTTAAACGACCTAAGTCCTTTCGCATTTAGTTCGGCATAAAGATGTCAACTCTCAACAGGAAGTTCATCTGTTTGTTTCTGTATATGCACTTTCTTCCTGTGTCCACAAGGGGTCATTTATTTGTAAGAATGAGAAATGATGAGTCTTTGGGAAGAATGCAAACATACGTGCTATAAAGCAAGTTTATGCTCTTACTTTGTTATTTCTCTGTTGCCTTTGTTATTTGTCTGTATTTAATTAAATAGTCTGCTTTATGTGTGTGGTAATATTGCGAAAAGTCTTTATATAATTTACTCTCCCTCTAGTTTCCATATTAGTTCATTCCGTGTTAAATATCTTATAGTACCCGGTCCTATAAAAAAATCTTCTACTGCAAGTGATAATGCACAAATGTTCTTAATATTATTCATATATTAGTGCTAATTGTTCAGGTAATTAAAGTGCACATTATTGATTTGTGATACATCTGTAAGTCAAAGCTAA